GGCACCCAGCCATCATCATCAGTGACCTGGACGAGGGGACAGAGTGTATCCTCAGCAAGTTCACTGATGGTACCAAACTGGGAGGACTGGCCGACGCTCCAGAGGGCTGGGCCACCATCCAGCGTGACCTGGACAGGCTGGAGAGCGGGAAGAGAAGAACCTCATGAGGTTCATCAAGGGCAAATGTAGGGTCCTGCACCTGGGGAGGAAGAACCCCAGGCACCAGTAGGGGTTAGGGGTGGATCTTCTGGAAAGCACCACTGAGGAGAAGGACCTGGGGGTCCTGGCGGACAATAGGATGACCATGAGCCAGCAATGTGCCCTTGTGGCCAAGAGGCCAATGGGATCCTGGGCTGCGTAGGGAAGAGTGTGGCCAGGAGGTGGAGGGAGGTCATTGTCCCCCTCTGCTCCTCACTGGTGAGGCCACAACTGGAATCCTGTGTCCAGTTCTGGGCTCCCCAGTTCCAGAGAGACAGGGAACTGCTGGAGAGAGTCCAGCGTAGGGCAACAGAGATGATGGAGGGGTTGGAGCATCTCCCTGAGGAGGAAAGGCTGAGAGAGCTGGGGCTCTTGAGCCTGGAGAAGAGAAGGCTGAGGGGAGACCTTATTCATGCTTCCAAGGATCCAAAGGGTGGGTGGAAGGAGGATGGAGCCGGACTCTTTTCAGTGGTTCCCAGTGACAGGACAAGGGGCAACGGGCACAAGCTGGACCAGGGGAAGTTCCACTCAAATCTGAGGAAGAACTTCTTTGGGGTGAGGGTGGCAGAGGGTGCCACACCCAGGGAGGGTGTGGAGTCCCCTTCTCTGGAGATCTTCAGGACCCACCTGGATGCTCCTGAGTGATGTGCTCTGGGCAATCCTGCTTTGGCCGGGGAGTCGGACTGGAGGATCTCTAGAAGGTCCCTTCCAACTCTGACAGTTCCCTGATTGATTCCCTGATGGCACTGCTGGACCTGGTGCCGTTTGCCTCCAGCACGGCATGGCCATGGCACCGGGAGGCTCCAGTACCGGACTGGTTTGGCGCCGTGTGGCTCCAGCACTGCGTGTCTCCGGCACCGCGCCGGCTCCAGCCTCACCCCCCGTCCTCCTCCTTCCCCGCAGCCCCCGGGACCCCCCCTCCAGCTTCTCCTGCTCCTGCTGCCCACCGTGTCCCACCATGAAGCCATCACCACCCGCTGTGATGCCACCACCACCCGCCACGAAGCCACTGCCGCAGCCCCCCAGGTAGGGAGCCCTGGGGGCCGAAAGAGGTGGCTGGGGGGGCTGCTGGCCTGTGCTGCCCGTGACCCCCGCGCCTGGCCTCCCCTCTGCCCTGCCCTGGGAGGGGGAGCAGCCCCCTGGGACCCCCTGCTCCCTGCCAGGAGCCCCCCGCTTTTGGGGAGGGGGTGGGTGCAGGGGGCGTGTAGGGGCATGGGGGGAATAAAGGTGCTGGGCTGTCCCTAACGTGTCCTAGGTCTGTGTCCACAGGGTCCCCCCCCTCCTCCCTGTGTCCCCCCCTTCCCCCCATCCCTGCCCCGGGATGCCCCAGG